AGATCTTAGTTGATAGCATCAGGAAAGTTAGATAATTCATTCATCATTTATTCAATAAATACTTACTGAATGACTACTATGTTTCAGACACTGTGCTTGGCATGGTGATATAGCACCAAAAAATAAAAAGAAATGCCTATCCCCATGTTACTTCCTTTTTACTAAAAGACAGAAAATAAACTAATTTAAAAAAAAAATCTCTATTTTGCTACATCTAGTGCCCAATTAGTAGTCTTCGTTTTACTTGACCTTTTGGAAACATTGATAAAATCGACCTTACAATTTCTCCTTGCTATACATGTTCTCTCTTCACTTGGTTCTACCTTACCAGTGTTGCTGTATTTATTGCTAGTTCATCTCTTCTCCCCAGCCCCTAATGGTGGACAGCATAGGGATAGGTTTTTACTTCTCTCTCTACACCCACTCCCTTAACGATCTCATCAGGCCCAGGCTTTAAATTCCATCTGTACCTCAATGACTTCCAATTTTATATTTCCAGCCCAGGTTTCTCTCCCAAACTGCAGACATGCATTCAACTATCTATTTTCTTTTTTCTTCAGGTGGATGTTTAATAGACATTTGAAGGTTAACATGTCCAAAATAAAACCCTTGATATTCCTCCTCCCAACCTTCCTTCATAAAAAAAACTACCCTATTCAGTTGATAACTTTATCCTTGTCCTTTTTCATACTTGCATTCAACTCTTAAAGAAACTCTCTTGGTTTGCCTTCAAAATATATACAGAAACTGACCAATTCTCAATACTTCCATGATGGCACCCTCTGTAAGTGACTATCATTTCTCCTTTAGATTACTGGCTTTAGCCTCCTTAATGTTTTCCCTGCTTCTACTCTTGATTCTCCACTGTCCTGTGGGAAGCTACTCTGACACTTTGGTAAGCCTCCACATCCACTACAGGCAAGCTTTCCTACAGCACAAAAAACTCAGACCAAATTAAAATGCTGGTGATGCATGGTTTATTAAATCAATGTAAATACACAACCTGTGGCAAGGGGAAAGAAATGGGGTAATTTAACACTGGATAAGGGTGCAAGCTGGTGGACCACAGAAGCTGAATCATGGGTTATACAATGTTCATATATCTTATCTTTCTCATTGCCCTATCAGTCTTCTTCATTGATGCTGTGGTTATAAAGATCAGAGTTCAAGTTTGAGCCAGGAGGTCCACAGATAGACAAAGGTGCCCTGGGCCGATGACAGGCCCCTACTGTATTGAAGAGGAGAGACAAATATGCCAGACCACATAAGCCTTCCAAATAGCCATGGGTTTTATTTGTGTTTCTTGGGTAAAGGATACCTGGGGCCAGAATGGATATCATCAGTAGGTGACTGAATTAAGGCACCACTTGTCTCTAGTATATTTAGTGTCTGATTTATCTCATGCATATTTAGTATCCAGGTGTCTCATGTATAAATACTGCCTCATGACTATTATCTATCCCTTGCTCCTTTATAGCTTTCCTTATAAACACACATGCTCTACTTACTAATTACTTATACTTTATACAGCTTATGAGTTTTCATCCATCACATTTGTTTCTCTGTAGCAGAACTAAATAGTCTCAAATAGGACAAGAAATGCATATTTCATAATGTTAGGAAACCAAGACCAAGAATTTTATCCACTACAATCAGATCGTTGGACAAGTATTTTATAATAGAATATTTAAAATTTTATCTTTTATTTGGTCTATTTTAATGACATAGTTATGAAAAGAGATAAAGGCTTGCTTGTTTTAAGGAAGATCTATTAGTTCTAAGTCTATGTTAATAACCACATTCCTGTGAAAAGTAATAGGACTTACTAAAGGCATTTTGTATAATATCCAATCACTCTTCTGTGTTGTTTCAAAGACAGGGCCAATCAGTATATGTCACATATTTCCTACAGTCATTATTAAGTATTCCTGACAACATATCAGAAGATGTTTAATAGAATATTTTTCTAAAATTCAACGAATCAACTTTGCAAAAGTTGATTTTAATATACTTTGCAACTGCAAGTATATTAAAAAGGCATTAGTAAAGAAACTTTAGCCACAATCAAATCAGTTCATTCAGTCCTAAGTAATTAATTCAATCTTTGTTGGTCTTGGGTAAAGAAGTCTGTGTCTATTTAAAGGCCTGGAAAATCTTCAATCAGTCCTGTGGTTGAATCTGAAAGGTACTTGTTACAGTCCCTTCTTCAAGTTCTTTTGATGCTTCTTCTGGAAATCTCAATTTCAGATCTGTAATTTGTAGCAGGGGCCTTTAGATAAGCATGCTGAAAAACAGGAACCATCTGTTGATGACAAGAAAGAACATGTCTGGTTGATTTATTATATTAATCAACATTATCTGTATGAAGAAGAATAGAATCCCTTATTTAAGTATCATACTACCAATAGTGAGGACATTGACAAACCTCCAGGGCCTTCTGATATATGTCATAAAGTATTTGCTATTAACAACACCAAATTACAAGGGCATTTATACCAAGGAATAAAATCAGTTTGTTGGCAGTTTTGTACTAGTCTTTTATTTGAATATAATTATGTTCTATCCATCTTTAAAATGTATAATTGTTAAACATTTATATTAATAACAATTTAACTGGCTAACTTAGGAATGTATAGTTTCCTTTTTTGATTTGCCCCTTTTCATATTGTACAATAATAACAGAACAGTTCTCACACTTGTATATAACTAATTACAAATATAAAAACTATGTATTTTCATATAAAATAAAAAAAAACAAATATTATATGTGGACTAGTGATTACTTGGGAAACCCCCCAAAATAGTTTAGATATAAATAACACCTTAATGATTTCTTTACTCAAAATCTGGGACCTTGAATTGGAAAAGGTAATATCAAAAAAGTTTTGTTACATTCATTACATGATATTTTATTACATCTGGATATGTGCATGAATCACACATTTCTCAAGACAAATACTGAAATATTAGCTAAAAGTCTGGCTAGTTAGTTCAGTTGGTTAGAGCATGGTGTTGATAACACCAAGGTCTAGGTTTGATCCTCTTACTGGCCAGCCACCAAAATAAGTAAATAAATACAATATTGGCTCTAAAAAAAGCATTTAAATTATGCACAGTACACTTAGTTTTTTATTTGTTTGTTGTTTTTTAGTTTAGAAATGAGAAACATTTCTCAAAATTATTCAAGATATCAATGGAAAGCCATAGATAACAGACACTTAGATGGTTTTAGGGAAATAGAAAACCTCTCCACAAAGATAGTAGAGAAGAGTTTTATTATTGAATCAGCATTAAACCAGAATATGATGTGCATTGCTAAACTGCTAAAGAGCTTACAGACAGAAATCTCATTCTTTTATATAGCTAAGTGGTTACAATGTAGTCAATATATCAGGTATGTTTTGCATTTTGGAGTCATGTGATAGTTGAAATTAGTCCCATCTCTTCCCAGGATGCTGGGAGCTAGAAAGTTACCTTCCTTGATAATTACATTTCAGGGACTAACTCTAGGGTACTTGAGGAAACATTCCTCAGTTGGGAGACAAACAAGAGGCATTTGACTTTACAAAGGTTATTTCTCGGTGAGGTAAGGGAGTTAAGGAATTGTGTTCTCCAAACAAAATACACAATAGTAGTTTTCGTTTTTGTTAAGAGCCAGCCACCTGAAAATTTATGAACAATTTCCTAAGTTTTTTCCAAACTTGTTTTTCTTCTTTATCATAATTTTTCCTGATTGAAAACATTTAATATGCTTTTACATGTGTTTAAACACACACAAATATCTATATATAGCTAATATTAAAGTTTTAACTTCAGTTTTGTTTTGTTTTGTTTTTTAAAGATGACCAGTAAGGGGATCTTAACCCTTGACTTGGTGTTGTCAGCACCACACTCAGCCAGTGAGCGAACCAGCCATGCCCATATAGGATCCGAACCCTTGGCCTTGGTGTTACTAGCACCGCACTCTCCGAGTGAGCCACAGGCCGGCCCTTAACTTCAGTTTTTACACTATATAAATCTGATAGATGTTCTCTCTTGCTCGCTGTCTACATATCTACATCTATAATTATCAGCAGTTGTTACTTTAGTCTGTATCTGCAGTAGTGGCCGTTTCCACCAACACCCAAGTTTTCCCCTTCGGCTTTGGGTTTTTTTCCTATAGGCATCTGAAACCTCCTCTGAGAAGATACTAGAACCTCCTTTGAGATTAGATCTGAATTTTTTCTAATCTTGTTAAATTCCTTTTCCGCTCTGTACCGAGTCTTCATGGTTTGTAGTAGCTCTCATGGGTTAGGCTTACTTGTAAATATTTCTCCACCTTACAGAACATTTCCGTAGTGCGATCTCCTTTCTCTTAAAAATTTAAATGTCTTTCAGTTGCATCCTATCCTCACCAGCTGTTCTGAGGGGAATCACTAGTTAGCCTCTAAGCTTCCCCGACTTAGAGTGTACTGATCAGGACTAGAGGAAGGGGCTAAGGACATCCTTAGTCCATCAGAAACGTGAAAGAATAGTTATACGTGGTCAATAGTTATACGTGGTTCATAGCTCGCCAAGTGACCTAGTGAACAGCTATGGGCTTTGCTTCCCGAGCGGAGCGCCATAATAGACATCAACAAAATGTGGCTTAATTTTAAGCCCTGCTGTATAATGAATACTCCCCATCTCTGATTCGGTGCCGAGATATCGGGCCTAACAGGCTATTCTATAATGCACACACGCTTACCTATATTAATATACCTTATCTGTTGCTAGCATATTTGCTTTCTCCCGTTACCCCTGTTACTGTTTGCTTATTAGTCCTCTTATGTTTTTGTGTTGGGAAAGTTGGGATAGCAAAGACCTCTCAGAACAAAGGTTTGTTTGGGGTCTTTCCTAGAGCGGATTGGCGTTTTCAAACAGCCCGCGAGTGGGGGGGCATGCGCCATTAGCTGCTCAAACAGCGCAGGCGCAAACCGAAGCGGGGTCGGAGACAAAGTAAACGTACAAACCAGCGTCACCGCTCTTTATGTGAGAGAGTGGGGTGGCCCTGAAAAGGGCCTTTTGTTGAGAAGGGAGGCGATGCGCACTCAGCCGCCGAAGCCGTAGAGGGTGCGTCCCTGGCGCTTGAGCGCGTAGACCACGTCCATGGCGGTGACAGTCTTGCGCTTGGCGTGCTCCGTGTAGGTGACGGCGTCGCGGATCACGTTCTCCAGGAACACCTTGAGGACCCCGCGGGTCTCCTCGTAGATGAGGCCGGAGATGCGCTTGACGCCGCCGCGGCGGGCCAGCCGCCGGATGGCGGGCTTGGTGATGCCCTGGATGTTGTCGCGCAGCACCTTGCGGTGGCGCTTAGCGCCGCCCTTGCCGAGACCCTTCCCGCCCTTGCCACGACCAGACATGGTGAGGAGAGACTGCTCGGAACTTTGTGAGGATCCTGGCCAGAGGCGGGCTTTTATACGTCCGTTTGCGGACCAAACTGAGAACCTGAAGAAAAAAGAGGCGGGAAGTCCCGCCCCGGTGGGGGAGGGGAATCTATTAGGCCAAAAAAGAGAGAGAGGCGAGCTTCTCGTTTCCGTGTTCTGTGTTATGTAGTAATTGTTTTATTACCGTATTTTAAGGCTTTAAAAAATTGTTTTTGGATAGAGAATAAAAGCGTTAATATTGTGGAAAATACAAAGGACAAGGAATAAAATAAACACCTATTATGACCTCACAGAGCTCGCTACCGCTGGCTAATAAGGTATTTCGGTAAACGGATAAATGCACGCTTAAAAAAAAATGTATACAGTGCTGTGTATGGCGTTTTGTAACTTTCCTACACTGATTATATTTTAATGTTTCCCTTGTCTAAAGAGTTTTCAAAAAGTGATTTTAATGTCTGCTTATTATCCTTCTTACGAATTCTCCATAATACACTTTAGTCAATTCCCTAGCAATTCATTAATCTGCCAGATTTTAAAAATAATTTCTCTTTCCCACATTGAACATAAATTCACTTCTTCACTATACTTGGAACCAATGCTGAATTTTCTATCGTTTTTATTACATCAAAATTTTAAATTGTATTCGTATTAGAGGTTTCGTGATTTCGTACTGCAGGTCTCCCCTTTTTTTCATTTCAAGATTTCCTAATGTAGTTTCACCAAGATTCCTTTTCTAGTCAAATTTAGAATCATTTTATGAAGTCTGAATAAAATTTCCTGGAGATTTTGATCATAATTGCAGTGACTTTATAAATTAATTGGGATAGAATTGAAGTCTTTAAAAGAACAATTCTTGTAACCTAAAACTGGGTGTTTCCAGGTTTTTAAAAGCCTTTTCTTAATGACCCAACTAAAGATTTGGTTCTCAGTAATATTTTATATGAAATAATCTTCGTGTATATTTGTCTTTTTTAAAAATACAGGGCTATATCTCTGAAATTCTTTAACACTAATGAAAATTATAAAACTTCTACAACTATTCTAATGTAACCTCTTGCTGTTGTTTGTTTTAGAAAGTGGTTGAGAGCTGAAACTTGAGTTAGTAAAACCTGGTTTTAAATTAAATCATCTCTACTAACCAGACTTCAGCTGACTTGCTTATGCTTTGTAAATCTTTGCTCATCTATTTAGGAGGACTAGGGTAGTACAGTACTTAACTCAAATTTAACTGTAAGAATTAATGGTGATAATTTGCATTAAGTTCTGAGAACAAAGCCTACCTCTATTTAATATAATAAGTAATTCTGTAGTCTAGAAATTAAATTGACAGAGGACAGATTAACAGGAAAAAAACTATTTTAATTATGTACGTACACACAAAAGTCCCGTAAAAATGTTAGACTCAAGCAAGTGGACAGATTGAAATTTATATGTTGCTGTGGCTCAGAAAATGATATTCCAAAACGAAGGCCCCAGAAGTAGTCTCAGAAACAAAACTTCTCTGTGACTTCCTTATGCCCTCCTGTCTCTGCCCTCTCATTCTGTCCTGAAGCATGCCATAGAAACTAGAATTCTTTCCCAGCGTGGGTCATAGGTACCAGAACCCCTTTCCTCAAAGCCAGCTGTGAAACATAGACATCTTACTCTCACCTTATCTCACCTTTCTGTGTAACAGCTGGCCATAAAGAATTCAAGACTGTCATTCCAGAGGGGTCCTACCTCATACCCAGGAGGAAGGAATGCTGCACAGAAAGGCCAAGAAGAATCTGAACAGACAGGCCTTGCTGAGTTTCCCCACTCAGTTTATTAGCATTAGATCATACCGTTTTTATCTAATCACAGTTTTACATGGCTGTCCATTCATCATAGAATTTAAGCATAAAAGTGAATGATTTTCCTGTATCTTGGATCCTTTTACTGAAGGCTCCTATGTTATGTAAAACTATAATGAAATAAATTTGTCATGCTTTTCTCTTATTAACCTGTTTTTGTTATAGGGGTGTCGGCCGTGACCCTTATGATGGGGAGAAAAGGTATCACCCCCTTTCTGCCCCAGCAGTATCATCCTGGGTTACAAAAAAGAATAGGGGTTTGGGACTTCTAGGGGATGGTGGAGACAAATTATAAGAGGGTGAGGGGAGGAGATGTAGGGTAAGTAAATATTGCCCTGTTATGCAGATGAGCCTCTGGGGAGATAAGAGGTGTCTGGTGTAGCTCTCTTTCTGGTATTGATACTTTTACTAATGAAAATTTCCTTTATAAATATATATTTTCTTTACAAAAGCTGAAATTTATGCTTTATTTTAGGCAGTTGAGGGAGAAATAAAGAGCTTTTTCTGTGAGGCTCATTCTGAATTTCTTTTAGGTCAAAATAATCAATATGCTAAAGTGGCATATTGTGGGGTGACATGTTCTAAATACTGTCAGTATCCTAACAGCTAAAAATATAAGTAGAAGATGAACACATTAAAGTGGCCCATTGCTCTGTCTCTTTACAAAACCCCACCCCACACTAATAAAGCTGATCTTTTCATACAAACAATTGAAATAGTAAGCATAATAGATAAAAGTCTGGAAGAGGAGATAGTTATAAAACCACAAAAACAAACAAATAAAAAACCTGAGGGGAAAGAGAGTTAGAAAGGCATTTTGGGGGAGCCTCAGAAATTTGTATGTATTATTTGAAACTCTCCAGTTCTCCCACCTTAGTTCTTACCCCTTGTCCAGAGTCTCTTCCTTCCTCCAAACCTCTGGTCCCTAAAATCACTCCAGCTATTTCATTATTCCACCAGATAATTAATATTTATTAACATCGGTTACATTTAATGTGAGATTGTTGATAGGCTGGAGGAAAAAACAGGACATGTACCAAATTAATAAGGACATCCCTCCATGTCCACCTTTTTCCTACATTTTCCTTTAAACCTAGCCTCTGTGCAATCTCATTCTTGTTTAATTTTCAACTTCCTTTTTGCTTTTATATAGCTTTTTTACTTTTCTTCATATGAATTTTTATTATTATGAAATTAACAATTTTTTGACCATATTTTATGGGTTTGTCATTGAACCAGAGTCTAGGAGGATGGAAATAAAAATAAAACCTGGTCTCTACCCTAAGGAATTTTGCAAACTAGTGTATGATAAACACCAGTAATCTAATACAGTAAGACAGGTGGATTATAGTTGTCAAGAGTCTGTGGAGAGAGAAATTAATGGGAAGAACAACTCTAGAAAGAAAAAGTTTAAATAATGCTTTCACAAATATGCTGCCACTAAAATTGAATGTTGTCTCTAATGAAAATGCTTTCTAGTATTAAGTGAGTGTGAAGTTTTAAAGAGTTCTTCAGTTCTAATTGCAAATACAAATATCTAAATTACTTTAGCAAGATTTTTGGAAAGTTTTGTTATCTCCACTTTTAAAAACAAGTTTTAATTATTTTTTTGATTATGTAGTTTATCTTCATGTATCAAGCAAAGAATAGTAGGTGCTTTATTCAATAAAATTGGAGCATTGATCAATTAAAAAACTCAATTAATATGTGGAATTATAAACAATGATTGTCCCACTAGTATATTTTATTTTACTTAAAACAGTAAAGTTTACATTTATTTGTAAATTATTTGATTATGGGTTCATTCACTTGAGTCTTTACATAAATCACACAAATAATAAAATGGATGGCATAATTTTAACAATGTGGTGGTTCTTGCGGTAGAGAATAGAAACAATGGAATAAAGCAACTGTTAATAATTGCATCAACATCAATGATAATAACAACATATTTTATTATTAAAATTTGAAAGAAGGCACAGGCCTTCCTTGAAGCTGTATCATTTACTTGGCATTTCTAGTTCTAACAGAAATAATTGTTGAAAACCTACATATACAAATAATACAGATGACTTTTTGAGAAGGAACAATTGAATAATCAGATTTGCTGAGATCAGGATTTGGGACATCCAACATAAGAAAAAGAAAGTAATATTTACCCCTATTCGATTGTTGTGCTCATTGTCTTAGTCCAAGGATTATTTGCATATAATTGCTATTGAGATTTAAATATAAGAATCACAAATGTTTCAAGAGACTCAGAAAATGATTCCAATTGTCTAAAAATGCCTATAGAAATTCATTTTCATTAATATGTCCTTGTGAGGGAAACTAGACATTAGCAAGATGTATACTTTAGGTGGAGAGGAACAAGTCCCTAGTGAGAACTAGGGTGACATGATGGAGAGAATAAGTATACTGATGAGGAAAGAGGGCAGTAAAAATCATTGACAGGAACAGTGTACTATATAAATCCTGATATAGTAAGGTAAGTAATCTGGTTTACAAGGTCCATCATTTGTTAGTCCTCCCTAATGTAATCCCACACCACCTTTACTTCATCATTTATATGAATACAGTCCATTATAAAATGTATTCTGTCCAAGCAAACTTGAAGCTCCTTAATTTGTCCCAATAGAAATTCAGCCCTGAAGGATAACAGGGACTCCAGATTGTACCCTAATGGCTTTATTAAATGTAAGTCATATTTACAAACAAAAACCGAAGATTTCCTTACACGCTAACCATCCTTAAGGATTTTGTTTCTAAAATTTAGGAACTGAAAAAGCTGGCATTTATATATATAAATGTTTATATAAATAAATTAAACTTGTATAGGCTTAGGAAACAACGTCTCCCTATCCCCAAACGATGTGACTGGAACGGTTTTGCTTCCTCTGTATTTCAACTAAAAGAAAGGCATTTAAAAACCACTGCAAATTGGTTAAACTATTGGACAAAATTGTGCAGCACAGCTCCCCTTGGTGATAATGTGGTTGGCTCTGAAAAGAGCCTTTTGGTTTCAACAGGTTTCAAATTGTAAACTACTCCAAACCTCTACTTTCCCTTGGCCTTATGGTGACTCTCGGTCTTCTTGGGCAGCAGCACGGCCTGGATGTTGGGCAGGACGCCGCCCTGCGCGATGGTGACTTTACCCAGCAGCTTGTTGAGCTCCTCGTCGTTGCGGATGGCCAGCTACAGGTGGCGCGGGATGATGCGCGTCTTCTTGTTGTCGCGGGCCGCGTTGCCCGCCAGCTCCAGGATCTCGGCAGTCAGATACTCCAGCACCGCCGCCAGGTACACCGGCGCGCCGGCTCCGACCCGCTCGGCGTAATTGCCCTTGCGGAGCAGGCGGTGCACACGGCCCACGGGGAACTGCAGCCCGGCCCGGGAAGAGCGGGTCTTGGCCTTGGCGCGAGCTTTGCCGCCTTGCTTCCCACGTCCAGACATGGTGGAGAAAGAACTGTAGGTGTTGAGACAACCTAACGTGAGTCCGCCAGAGCTGCACTACTTATAGTCATTAGTGGGCGCCAAAATGAAGCTATGCCACTGGCTAAAATTACCGTTTCATCTAAACCAATGAAATCGTGGTTTTGAAATACCTTTATTTTGATTGGACAAAGTTAATATATGACGTTTCCAGGAGTCAACACTAATCAAACACAACTTTACTCCTCACCTCCTTTGCTTAAAAAGCTGTGAACAGAGGACACTTCCAGAGCCACACGCGCCACACGCGTCTCTCCTGTTATTTTTGAGACCTTCAACTGTCCCCCCTCCCACCATGCCTGAGCCCTCAAAGTCAGCTTCGGCTCCGAAGAAAGGCTCCAAGAAGGCGGTGACCAAGGCGCAGAAAAAGGACGGCAAGAAGCGCAAGCGCAGCCGCAAGGAGAGCTACTCCGTGTACGTGTACAAGGTGCTGAAGCAGGTCCACCCCGACACCGGCATCTCGTCCAAGGCCATGGGCATCATGAACTCCTTCGTGAACGACATCTTCGAGCGCATCGCGGGGGAGGCGTCGCGGCTGGCGCATTACAACAAGCGCTCGACCATCACGTCCAGGGAGATCCAGACGGCCGTGCGCCTGCTGCTGCCCGGGGAGCTGGCCAAGCACGCCGTGTCCGAGGGCACCAAGGCCGTCACCAAGTACACCAGCTCCAAGTAAATGGATCGGGAGGTAGTGCTAAACCCAAAGGCTCTTTTCAGAGCCGCTCACAGTCACAAATGAGAGCTCTAATGCTGTCTCTCCCCTTCTCGTAATAACTTCGTATAGCATACATTATACGAAGTTATACGAGGAGATCCAGACGGCCGTGCGCCTGCTGCTGCCCGGGGAGCTGGCCAAGCACGCCGTGTCCGAGGGCACCAAGGCTGTCACCAAGTACACCAGCTCCAAGTGAGCCAAGCCTGCCGTGGAGCGATCGGTCAGTCTCGGCCCACACCCCAAAGGCTCTTTTCAGAGCCACTCACCCTTTGCAAAGAGAACTGCTGCTCAGTTTTATTTTAGCGGCTGGCCGGTCTAGGGATCCGAACCCGTGACCTTGGTTTTAAAAGCCTGCTTTTCTTTTTCTTTTTTCTTTTTTATTTGCAGCAGGTATCTCTTACTTGCTACATACGACGTCTGGGTTTCTTTATTTTGGTCTTGTTAGAAGTTACTTTGCGCTGCAATGTAATGCATGCTGCAGCAACACTCAAGACAATTTTATATAGACTTGAATCAAGCAGGATCAAATTTATTGTCAAACAAAGCTAGTAAAGGGAAAATTCAATACCTTTTACCCCAAAACAAAATCCGCTCGTCTTTAAAAATGTCAACCTGGTAAAATATCATTAATAGTGCTTTGGGATCTATCGTTAATTTTCATGTGTTCCCTACTAACGAAGCTCTTGGCACACGGAAGCGTACAGATCGCTTTCGGTTTTGTTTTTTGAGGGGGGATGGGAGCAGTGTTGTTTCTCCTTCCCTCTCTGAGTTTGGATTTGCCAAATGTTAAGATAGAAAAGCAGAAGAAAAGGAAAGTGAACCCAAATCAGAGTATTGTACGCATCAGTCAGGGGCCGAGTTGGTGTCAATGGCCTATCCAGACGCTGCGCGGGAACTTTGAAAGTTGGCCACTGGTTTCTCTGTGAGTCTGTTTTAATTGGGAAAATTCTAGGCAGTGCGGGTTTGTAGGAGGAACCCTGCCATTTTATCCACTCCCTTATTTCTCTTGACTGGAATTCCTCTTTATTGGCGGGATTAGGTTCTACCCCCTGTCTTTCCTGTTAAGATCTGCTCCATGTTTTCTTTCTGTCTGTGTCATTTGCATTTACTGTTTATTAAATGGAAGAAATTTTAAAAGAAAACGAGAAAGTAGAGCAGGGGAAGGGCCGTTCTCCGCTATCCTCCCACTCCCAACTCAGGAAATCAAAATCAGTTTCCACGCCAAGGTTAAGGGTTCTGGTACCCGCCAGCCACCAAAAACAAACAAACAAAAAAAAAAAACCGAAATTAGTTTTCCCATTTTAAGCTCTTAGGAATGGCATATTTATTTGGTCTTTGCCTGGAATCAGAGTGGGAATGCTTCCACACTGAGTTATATTTGCTGCCAATTTTTGATGATAACTTTTATCCAATTAAGATACTCCAGTAACACAATTTGACTCCTCCTTGTTTACTTGAGAGAATATTTTGCACATATGCAACAGAAGGCATACAAGAATGGAACAACGCTATTCTTAATAGCAAACACCGGAAGCAACCACATGTTCTTGGCCAAAAGAATAAATGCATTTATTGAGGTACATTCGCCCAGTGGAATGCTAAACAGCAGAGAAAATTATTGAACTACAGAGTACAAGGTTGCATTTCAGAAACAAGTCTTAGAAGGTTTATATAATACCATTTTATAAAGCTCAAAAATAAAACCAAATTTTATATATATATTTTTTAAGTGTATATAGAAGCACATGTGTGATTACAAAAACTTTTTTTTTTAAGAAAAAGCATCATAAATAAATTTTTTTAAATATCAGTAACTGGCTACCTTGGTGATAAAGACAGCAAAGGAAAGGGGGAAAGCACCAGTGTTCTGTTTTGGGGGTTAGAAGTTTGATCGTAAGTGTTTGATATAATTAGCTTTATACTTTAAATGAATATTACATGTATTCCCTTTATGTATCAAATACTGTACTGAAAAATATAATAGAAAGGGAAAGCATTTTTCTATAAAAACAAGATCTAAGCATCGTCTAGTTTCTCATAAAGAAAAACTTAGAAATGAGAACTCCAAACCTAATAGTGTTTCTCTAAATATTATTAATTTCTTTTAGTGAGGAGAAGGAAAAAAAAAAGACAGAGGCCATTAAAAAGGCCCATGGATTCAGAAAACACAAGGTTTTGGCTAAAATTAAGAATCAGCAGCCAATCTCTGTATATCCTTGTTCTTGAGTCTGCAGACTAAGGCCCCTGGACCAAGAGTCCTGATTCCCAGGAAGGGATTGGAGGATCCTGATGGGGTTTCATTTTAGTTGGTTTCTTCACATTATTTGATGTATTGAATCTGTATTTTGCACAGAACTGATAGAATTTATACTTCATGAAATCCAGTTAGCTGAATGCTATTTCCCCTGCTTCTCCACTTATCTGAATCCTGACTTATTCTCCAAATCCCACTCAAGGCTCACTCTTTGAAGCCCTCCCTGATCATTAGCGCCGGCTGAGCTTTGTCTTCCTTCACCTCCTCCAGCTCTTGTAAACCTCATGTCTATTCAGCTTCTCAGAAAAGCTTTGTGCCAGCTCTCTGGCAATGTGTGCATGTATGTGCAGGTGTGTATTTTGTATATATGTTATTTACATATGTGTATGTGTGTATATCCCTCCCAATTCTGTAAGAATAGATTATACTTTTTTCATTTATTTATCTTCTCCTACCATCTCACCACCAAGATATTTGAGGACAATTAATTGACCGTACATTTGGTTTTTTCATTTATATATCTTCTGTTCTCCTACCATCTCACCACCAAGATATTTGAGGACAATTAATTGACCATATATTTGGGTTTCTTTTTTAAAGATGACCAGTAAAGGGATCTTAACCCTTGACTTGCTGTTGTCAGCACCATGCTCTTGCAAGGGAGCTAACCGGCCATCCCTATATAGGGAGAATCTTCTCCTACCATCTCACCACCAAGATATTTGAGGACAATTAATTGACCATATATTTGGGTTTCTTTTTTAAAGATGACCAGTAAAGGGATCTTAACCCTTGACTTGCTGTTGTCAGCACCATGCTCTTGCAAGGGAGCTAACCGGCCATCCCTATATAGGGAGATGAACCCATGGCCTTGGTGTTATCAGCACCACACTCTCCCAAGTGAGCCACGGGCCGGCCCTTACAAGTGAGCCATGGGCTGGCCCTTACATTTGGGTGTTTTTTGTTGTCGTTGTTGTTGTTGGTTTTGACCGGTAACGGGATTGCAACCCTTGGCTCAGCACAGGGTGTGGTCTGTACCACGCTCAGCCAGTGAGCGCACCAGCCATCCCTATATAGGATCTGAACCCGCGGCCTCAGCGCCTCACTCTCCCAAGTGAGCCACGGGGCCGGCCCACATTTGGGTTTTTTAATCATGACTTTTTATAGCACAGGTGCCTTTGATCCTCTCCATTAATGCAGATAATCAGCAGCAAATTATCATATTGGTTTGTTTTATGAAGTGAAGAAATCAGCAGTTAAAACCCAGAAGAGAAAATGAGAAGAGGATTTAGAGGGATTAAGTTACCTCAACACATACTCTAGGCAAGGGTAAAGAGTACAGAGGCTACTGCTCTTTAAAAATACATAGAGGATATATATATCAATATGTCTATATATTTATATTTATATGTAAGTTTTGACTATCAGGGACTGCTTGAATGTTTTGGAATTGTCAGCAGAACATGTCTAGAAGAATATGGGGTTGGGATGGCTAAAATCTGTTTACTGAATGGAGAGAAGTGTGCAGAAGGAATTTGTACAAGGACCTATACAAGGCTCACATATCTGGTCCATTACTTTCTGTTATTTTTGAAAGTTAAAATTTCTAAGAGAGAGAGAGAGAGAGAAGAACTCAAAGCTAGATTGTGTGGGTTATTTCCACTTTCATGAGCTAAGCATCTAACCTTCTGTTGCTGAAACAATCTTGATTAATTTATGCCATTTCTGGTCGGCCTTAGGAAACTGTTTGAACTGATCCAAACCAGAATGTCACTTTATTGTTTTACACTGGAATTTATACCTGGTAATACCAAGAATTCACAAGATTTGCCCCAAATAATTTTTTGTCAATATTTTTCCCCTAATGAACAACTTATAGAGCAGAAAGGAACAGATTGGAACATAGAAACAGATGAGAGAATATGATCTAAAGAACTTTTTTTCCCAAGTTATGTTACCTGAATAAATGCCCCTCATCCAGTCCAGAAAAATTTATGTTTTCTCCATTGGTAACAGAGCACCCCCTTCCATATGTCAACATACTTATAAAGCTTAATTCCTTTTTACTTATTTCTAGATTCCATGCAGTCTACCATGCTTTGGTTATGACATAGCATTGGGCATGTTAAATTAATGTGATCACAACTTATCTGAGTCACATTTTAGATTGCTTGATGTGAAAAACACCTGAATCTTATTATCCATAAATTTCCAAACCATTTCAAATGTGTGTTACCTCTGCAGATGGCAAATTTAACTACTTCCTAATACCTTTTAACTTCTATTTCAGAGGCTTCCCTTTCCTGATACTGTCACCAAATCATAAAGATGGTGCCTGTCGGGAGGCTGCATGAGGTAAAGCAGATGTATGGTACCACAAAACAAAATGAAACAAAACAAAACATGGGGAAATGTTTTCAAACTTGAATGATGATAAAAAATTTCTATCAACTCCTATAGAGTTGAACACATGCATACATATTCCTAGCAGTCAATGAATGTGAACAATTAACAAGGGTTTACTGAGAGCCTGAAAGTGCAAAGAACAGTTCTAGAAACTGGGTGGGGATAGGTTATGAGGACACATAACCCTACCCCTGCAGAAGTGTAAGAATTCCCACTGATGTAAGGAAGAGTAAAATAAGTGCCTCAGTCAAAGCTCTTTGTTTATACTAGACAGAAGGAATTATTTTTGATGGAGAAATTAGGAAAAGCTGTAAGAAAACACTGGAATCGTAAGGGTATTAATTTGGAGAGAACCTTTAAATACCAAGGCACAAGGGCAGAGGCTCAGGCCTGGGAATCATACAGCCAGGTCCTGGCCTGGTGCAGCCATTTGGAACAGCAGTGGGGGTCGTGACCTGTGTTCACTGACCTCCTGTTAGGTCACTGTTGATGTAGTTCATTAAACAGGGGTTAGAGATGATGAGAATTTATGAAAGCAGTAGTTCTCACACCTGTCAGCCTCAAGTCTCCCTTTTTATATCTAATATTTTTTGGTTCCTTTTCCAGGCTGAAATCAAATTCTTAGGTAACAATATTTAACTTAACTTATAAAAATTGCTAAAACACCTTAACATGATATGAAAGCTAAGTAAGAGATAGTTTTTTTAATAATAAAGAAGGTTATTTCAACATATAAATGCTTAGGCCCTACTTTAGAAAACATAATGAAGTAGCTT